CATACATTTTGATGAAATTTACCAGCTTCTGCAGCCATCACTGCTGTCCAATTTCAGAACATGTACAGCACCACCCAGTTTCCCTCCCTCCCCAGGTGCAGGTAAGCCCTGGTACAACGGGGACTGGCCTTTTCTAGATCCCATTTAGAGGTGCGAACATATGTACTCTTTTTGTTTTAAAGATTTACTTATTTTTATTGCAAAGTCACATATACAGAGAGGAAGATCTTCCGTTCAATGGTTCACTCCGCAAGTGACCACAATGGCTGGTGCTGTGCCAATCTGAAGCTGGGAACCTCCTCCAGGTCTCCCACACGGGTGCAGGGTCCCAAGGCTTTGGGCCATCCTCAACTGCTTTCCCAGGCCACAAGCACGGAGCTGGATGGGAAGTGGGGCTGCTAGGATTAGAATTTGCGCCCATATGGGATCCAGGCGTGTGCAGAGCAAGGACTAGAGCCGCTAGGCTACTGCGCCAGGCCCCGACATATGTACTCTTTTGTTTGCATCCTTCTTAAATTTTTCATAGAAGTTCAGTAGGTACAGGTTTTTCTCTTCTCCACCCTTTTTTCCCCTCCTGCCATTCCCTCCCACAGTATCCCAGGATATAGCTTATATATGAGAATATATGCGTACACTTCTTCATCTATATATCAGTTTTATACTTTGTGTGAAGGCTGTCTTATCAGAGAATATAAGATATTTGTCCTGTGGGAACGGCTTATTTCACTGAGCATAATGCTCTCCAATTGGGACCATTTTGTCAGATTTTTCTTTTTAATGACTTTGCAGTACTCCATAGAGTGGACACCCCACCGCTTCTTTATCTGATCACCTGTTGCCAGACACCTAGGTTGCTTCCATGTCATCACTATGTGCATTGTGCTGTAACAAATATAGGGTTGCAGGTTGCTTTCTCGTCTACAGATTTAATTTTGTTTGGATACATTTCCAGGTGTGGGGTAGTGTTGTATGGTAGATCAAGCTTAGTCGTCAGAGCACTCTCCATGCCGACTTCCCTAGTGGCTGCACCAACCTGCACTCGCAGCAGCTGTGGAGGAGGGCACGCTCCTCCCGTAGCCTCCCCGTGGCTGTCAGTGCCAGCCTCACTGAAGATTAGGTGGCTGTTTGTTTCTAGTTTGTTCCGTTGCTCTTTGCTGGTTTTGTACCAGAAGCAGACTGCTTAGGTTGTTACTATTGACGACAGTGTGTCTTGATCTGGTAATGTGATTCCTCCAGCTTTGTTTTTTTTTTTTTTAAGATTGATTTATTATTATTTTTTCATTGGAAAGGCGGATATACAGAGAGGAGAGACAGAGAGGAAGATCTTCCATCCGATGATTCACTCCCCAAGTGAGCGCAACGGGCCGATACTATGCCGATCCGAAGCCAGGAGGCTCTTCCGGGTCTCCCATGCGGGTGCAGGGTCCCAAAGCTTTGGGCTTTGGACTGCTTTCCTGGGCCACAGGCAGGGAGCTGGAAGGGAAGTGGGGCTGCCGGGATTAGAACTGGCGCCCATATGGGATCCCGGGCGTGCAAGGTGAGGACCTTTAACCACTTGCGCCACCGCGCTGGGCCCCCTCCAGCTTTGTTTTAACATAGCTTAGCTATTCGTGGCCTGGTAACTTTTTGCATCTTTTCTTGCTCTAAGAATGTTGTTTGGATTTTGATGGAGATCACATTGAATCTGCAGATTATTTTCAGTAATTATGTTGATTTGCTGATCCACAAGCGTAATAATTTTCCCCATATTTTGATATTTTATTTCTATCTTTAATGTTTTGTGCTTTCATCATTGAAGTCTCTTACGTCTTTGGTTAGGTTTATTCCAAAGTGCTTAAGGTTCTTTTCCTCTATTTTGAGTTGGGGTTCTTACAAGTTCTTTCTCAACCATAGAGTTCTTTGTGTATATGCAATCATCTATTTGTATTCATTCATTTTGTACCCTGCTACTTTACCAAACTGTTAAGAGTTCCAGTAGACTCTTTGTTGAGTCTTTTGGTTCTCTAATGTATAGAATCATGTCATTTGTGAATAGGGATAATTTGAGTTAACACATCTTGTAAAAAAAAACCTAAAACAAGTAAGATTTGAAAGGCACTAGAATGGGGTTCTGGCACAGTGACTCAGCAAGTTTATTCTTTTTGCTGTAGCGCTAGCATTCCATATGGGCACTGGTTCATGTTCTGGCCATTGTTTCTGATCCAGTTCTCCGCTCATGGCCTGGGAATTCAAGGCAGAGGATGGCTCAAAATCTTAGATTCCTGCACCCATGTGGTGGACCAGGAAGAAGCACCTGGCTGCTGGTTTTGTTCAGCTCAGCTCTGGCCACTGGGGCCATTTGAGGAATGATCCAATAGATGAAAGACCTCTATATCCTCTGAGCTTAAAATCTGCCTTTCACATAACAGTAAATAGATCTTTAAAGATGGGGGTTGGGGAAGGGAGGGGAGAGTAGAGAACAAAAAATGGAGGGGGGAGAGATACATAGATGAATACTTCTTTAGTCCTGTAATGCACTCCCCAGATGGCTGACACTCAGGGTTGGGCCATACCAAAGCCGGGAGCCCGGAACTCCATCTGTCTCCTGCATGGGCTGCAGGAACCTAAGACGTCGAGCAGTCGAGCAATCATCTCCCAAGGGCTACGAGCAGAGAACTGAATTGGAAGTGGAGTAGGTGGGAGTTAAATGGCACTGTGATGTGGGAAACAGGCCTGCAAGCAGCAGCTTGAACCCCTCTGTTAGAACGCCCACCTGTTTGATTTGACTTAGTGGTTCTGAGCTTTGTTCGTGTTGTAGTATGCATCACTATTTCCAGGTCCACGTGGAGTTGCACTGCCTGACTTGTTCATCAGTTATGGACATTTGAGCGGTCTTCTCATTTGTGGATTGCAGTGAATAATAATGCTGTGAACATTTGCACCTAAGTCATGTGTGCATAATTTCTTTTGTATTGCTAATTCAGTTTCATTTTTAATTCCTTGCAGGTAACTCTTTCCTTTAGTGTTTTATGGTCTTTCACTTGGCTAGTCTGTCAGCTTTGTGATGTAGTGGGAAGTGAAACTGATCAGGAGGTATTGGCGACATTTTAGGAGCCTTTGCTTGGATTTTATGCACTCTGCCTTGCCCTTCCATTTTAGTGTCTTAAATCTTCATTGCTTGCAATCCTAGTACATAACTAGTGGCTTTGTGTGGCACACATTTCCAGCAGGACTCCACATATATTCTCATTGAGTGCCTGATAGCAGTGGTAGCAAGCTGATACTTATTTGATACTGTGCACACTGCAGTACCCATTGGCTGTTCTCTTGTAAAGTTACAGAAGATGCCTCTGACTGACGAGGACCAGTTAGAATGTGGAGAGAGAACCCTGTGGTTTGGAGATTGATGTATGTAAACAAGCAAAGTGCATTGCTTCCGTTTAGCTAGAAACAGCAGTCTGATAAAGAGAGGCAGCATTCCTTCCCTAAGGAAAATGCTACAATTGCTAATATGTTCAAAAGAGTCATGGAAGGTAGAATGATACTGACCTAATGTAGATGTCTCTGTGTTTCTCTTCAAAGTTGAGCTCTTACTGTATGTGCTGAGCTAAGAACAATTTTTGACTTCTGCGAGTTTTCATGTAGTAAGTTTTCTGTTTCAGTTGGTGCTGGCTCTTTGCTGTGTCCTGCAGGAACTATGCTGTAATCTCTGAGCAACTACTGTATTTCATTATTAACCTGTGTAGGTTACAAGCCACATGTTTGTAAGACAAGGAGTTACTGTCTTTGAGTCTGAACTGATATGGTAGCAAAGGGGATTAAATGATGCCCTGTTACCAGACTCGGCACTCTGTGCTCAGTATGGGCTCGTGACTCTGGAGCTAGGAGCCCCATAAGCGCTCAGTAGTGGCTAGGAGCAGACTCTGGGGTCTGATGCTCACTGTGCCTTGGTGCTGGGGTTTGTAGAGTCCTGCACTTAACCACCTTGTGACCCTAGGGAGTTAATTGTGTCATTAAACTGTGGTTTCATCACAGACATGTCAAGCGGTAATAATACTACTTCATAGTGACACTGTGTGTTGTGCTAAGAATAAATCCGAGTAAATTGAAATTTTAGTTGCTTGATTATGCATTAATTTAAAAACAGGAAAAGCTCTCCACTTCCCTAATAAGCTCTTAGACCTGACAGATACATGGCCTCTCCAGAGCTGCTTTGTCCAAGCTTGGTAGCTCGGTAGTAAATCCTGTGTCCAGTGTTGTAAACAGAGTTAATATCATCCTCTTCATCTGTTCTGACAGTATTTATTCATTGGGTGAGGATAACCATACTGTATATATGAAGCAGTTGTACTAAAACTACAAGGTTAACACTTCGAAGATAATGGTGGAATTATGTATGTACCCTGGCACCCTAACTGTGCACTGTACCAGACACAAAGGTTTGGTGCCTACCTTGCCAATTCTGTGATCTGCCTGAAGACAGCAGTACTTTTACTAATGTTGTTTCTTTACCATAGTACCTGGTACACATAGGATGGATAAGGCAAATTTGCATATTTTAAATTGTATGCTGTTTCCCTTTAATGATGCAGTCTCTTGTGGGAGAGTATTTACAAGGACATTTGCTAGGTCATCCATTCCACGGATAAGAGGACAACACCTGTTTTGGAAAGTACCACAGCAGAACAGCAACTAACCACTTCTCTCCTCTTCTGTATCTTCTATAGTCACCACTGCTACCACTTTATTAAATGTTCATTCTGTCATCTCAAGGTAACATGTCTGCATAAGATGTCATCTTTCATGGGCAAGACTGTCAAACGACCCTTAGCCATAGCTGGGACACAGTCATCCAAAGTGTGGATGGGAATCTGGACCCCTGGCACCAAGGCTGAGCTTTTTCCACTTATGCAACATTAGCCCGTTCACATTTAAATGTCTATATTAACTTGACTGTCGGTGAAAACAATACAAAAAAACAAACTCTACAACTTTTACAGAAGTATATTGGAGCCATGTGATGAAAAAAAGCAGATTTTTTTATTATGTTTCTTCATATTTGGCATTGCTGTAAATGGCTAACTAACATTTATTTACTGCCAATTCAGTACAAATGTGTGGTTTGATAATACCAGAACAGCAAATTTAAATGAAAAATAAGAGTTAAACATTTTCACACAAAATTTTACAGTCTGACATTTCACTGTGTAGGTAAAGACATTTTTTTTTTTACTACAGATTATTCAGCATGAATAAAAAACTACAACTTTTATTTTTGAACAGGAGTCACTGGTTTTAATTTTTACACATTTTAAAATTACTGTGATAAAAAATAATGAAAAAGCTTCTTCATAATGCCATACACAGTATAATATAGATTTGTCCCCATTATATAGCATTTGTTTAATATACAAAATAGAATATTGACACACTCGAATCTCTGTGTAGTAAGTGAGTTAGTGGAGGGTGTTTTGACAGCCTTACATCAGAAAATAAAATCTTTCATATATTTCTAGAGAAGCTAATCCCTTCCTGAAAACCAGGTCACTATCCTGGGTGGGCCAGGTTGACTGAAAATAGTCTAGAAAATGATGCAACTTTCATACAAAGTGATTTAAAGTGTCCTTACACTTGCTTTTCAGGCACATAAAAACACATTCATGGACAGCTAGTCACTGCGCTAACGAACCAAGGCTGAAATCCCACTGGAGGCTGCTACAGTTCTTGGACTTTGACAAATCTAAGTGTACTAATGTTTACTCGATGGTGATGTAGCCTTGGGGTGTTAGAGGGAACTAACATGCTAAGACTTCAGCAGAAGTGGAATCGCCCTTCCCCTCCATCCTGACAGGAGTCGGCCTGTTACCTGCAGGCTGCATCCTTTGCTTGCTGCCAAGCTCTTAGGAGACCCTGACCCGATCAAGTTCTCCTTCCAAGTGTTCGAGTTTTTTCTTCAAGAGAAGCAAAGTGCTCTTTAGTTCCCTTCCTGTAATTCTGGGGGGGCATATATATTATATATATATATCCCAAAGACTATATTCTTATTTACTCAGGCTGACTGTAAAGTAGTGCACTGCAACAAACACCAGAAGAGTCACATTTCCTCACCAGTAATTAAAAGAACTTGTCAGGATTTGTCGTGAATCACTAGGCTTATTAACAACTCTTACTAATGTTGCTTGCAAATTTGAATCGTTTTGGGTGACAGGATACTGCATGCATAGAAAGAAGCTGGTTTGAAGCAGTACCTTATCTTTTTCACTTGAATCCCTAACTACACAAAGTACAGTTTAGTCAATTTCTGTTTTGCCCACATATAGCTGCTGCTTTCCCACTAAATAAGAAGCTTTCTGCCGCTGCTGTGTTAATATCAGCTGACTTGCTGTGACACCACAGTACTTTCTGTTTTTTGAGCCAAGGTTGTTGGGTCTAAAGCGAGACTAAGGCCTGATGTGCTTTCTGGTTTTAACCATACATAATTTCATGAATGAACAGTAATCTACCTTCTAGATGTTCTTTGAATTTCAACTCTGTCATTGATCATATTCAAGCGGTATTTGTTAGGCACTGTACATTTTATATCCATTTGGCTTATAATCCATTTTAAGGTTCTTAGGAATCAATTTAAATCATTATAAAAGGAACTCCCTTTTACAGAGCATTTAAAAAGCAGATGATTATGTTATTAAATAATTTCTCTAATACTGAAAATGACATTCAAGAAGTGACATTCAAAAAAATCTTAAACATGTCTTCATTTTATTTGGAAATAAGCTCTGTAGGAATTAGTGTATTACTGGCAAGCTATGAAATGCTGCACTATTTACATATTGCTGGTTCCTCTGTGTCTTATTGCCAAACTGCATGAGCCTGTTGGAGTTGGCGTATGAAAGGAGCCCTGTTCCTGACGGTGGCTCTTCGCACACACCCCCTGACTGTCCAGTGACACCTGAGCACACTCGGCTCCCCTCCTGGGATGCAAAGGATGGTGAGAATGGGAGTAGAGGATTCCTTCCTGGGAGTTGACTGGGTCAGAGCCTCAGCAGCCTTCACTACACACAGGGTACTCTGCATCCCCCCTCCCCCAGAGCAAGCCTGTGGGTGTTCTGAGCACTGCTGCCTGCATGAATGCTTGCACACACCACAAATTGTATAGGGTATCCGTCAACATTTCCTTGACGCCTACGAAAATATATAACATGTCATGATAAAACAATCTCATCTAAAAATCAGTCTTATTTTACACTATACAAGCTATTTTACAATCATTTTAATAAATTGCATGTAAAGCTGCAGTAGCCCTTCCCTTCCCAGATTAGTTGAATACCAATATGATATATATCAAACTATAACTAAATATAAAAATATATTAGAAGTTTCATATTTTTAATATTAGCTTTTCAGTTTCCTATTACACAGTTTGGCCACCATGAATAGAAATCAGATTTCTTGTGGCTTAGTAAATATGTGAAGTTTTGAGTTTACAGAAAGTTGGTAAGGTGCACACAGAAAGGGCTACTACAGCTTCTATTCTGTTTAAATCATAAGTCTCGACAGTGAAGAATGAAGAAACCCGCAAGGCTCGTGTTAGACGCTATGGCACGTGTAGGGATGACTGCTGTGATGAGCGTGGATGTCTGGCAGGCGGTTCGAAATGACAGCTAGCAGTAGCTGAGCTTTCCCGCACCGCTAGGAAAGAGAAACCAAATGATGAAAGATGGGAATGTGAAAATGGGTGTCTAGCCACTTTTGCCATCTGAGAGATTTGTTTTGGGGTAGAGTTTAGTGAGAGTAATTACTTGGTCTGATTGAAACCCTCTCAGCCATGTTACAGCTTGTTTTCTGGAATTACAACTTTTAAAAAAAGTTACATTAGCTTACTACAAGGTCTGACAGACTGTTAGTTTGCCAACTTTGTCACCAGCTAGCCACTTGCAGATAGGGCATCAGGTGCAGACAGAGCCTCTTGGTGGTTATGGTTTTAAAAATAGGGTTTTTTTGTTTATTTTTGGAGCCATCATCCACAGTTTACCCAGCAGGTCACTGGGCTAGGTGCTCTGTATCAAGACGGTTAATCTGCACAATCTAGAATTCTCCACTGAAGCAGATATATACAAATACGAGCTTTTTCGACAAGAATACTGGAGATCTGAGTCAATTTTTGTGGTCTTCTGATAGCTCAGTGCCATCAGGTTAGAAGCACCAACCCATTTTCACACAGAAGATTAATGTTTAGTTTATTTAGGAAAGCTGTGAACTAGCTGCCCATCTTAAACAGCTGTACAATAACTTGGATACAAAACCTATGTAAGAAAAAAATGAGCAAGCGTAGTTCACTGAATATAAAGTAAAGTGTTAAAACCAGACAGTAAAAGCTATAAAAGGCACGACTTCCCTTTTCTGATATACACTTGTAAACTTTTTTCAGGTTTCCATGCATAAATCAAATGCTATCCTAACTATACAGGGGGAATACACCAGCAGAAGGTCGAGGAGGTTTTATGCAGCCAGCTGTGAGAAGCAGGAGCCGAGTTCAGCACACATACTTGGACTCTGGTGGTTGGGGTGCCATCGCTGACCACGGAGCTCACCCCATATCACTGTTCCTACTTTCTGGGACACACCAACATGCGTTTCACTGTCTACTTTGCCATCACCAAAAGAGTGATGGCACCTGCTTCTGTCCCCAAGTGTTGGCCCTCTGTATACCTCGTGTAGTGCGTACTGAAAGCAAAACAGAAATGGACACAACTAAAGAGGGAAGAAAATAAAACAATAAAACCTCTACAGGACGAATTGGTAGTTTGTACAATAAAAGCTATATTCAACTTTCTTTAAGGCAACCTTTCTTGTTAAGGCAGTCACTTTTGATGAAACAGAAGTTTCTTGATATTTCCATTTGAATATTTTGGTATTTGATTGGTTATGATTTCAGCTAACATCTCTGGGAATTCGATACTCAGGGTCTTATCCAAAAATGTTTGGAAGCAATAGTGAAGGAGATTTTCAACCACCTGCAAAAGAAAACATAGTGATGACTAGGCTTCAAAACTCATCAACAGGAAGACTTCTTAATAATATTTGTTATAAATATTATATGAATATTCACCTAGAATACAGTGAAGTGGAAAAAAGTTGAGCTTGATAAGCACTTAGGAACACATGACTTTTTAAATTCCTTTGGATTGTATGTGAAAATGAATTGTTTCACGGGGAAGTATAGAACCAAAATATATGAAAGTATATATTATTAATAATTCTACTTTTAAAAAATCTACCATTTTAAACATTCTGCAACTTGAAACTTTACAAGATTAGAAAAAAACTGAAGTTTAAATTGAACTCAGGTCAGCACCACAATCTATGAGGTGGGACAGCACCACAATCTATGAGGTGGCACAATCTATGAGGTGGGACAGTTGGCATATAAATACATGCTATAATCAGAGCCTACTTTATGTCCCAGGAAATCCATCTTACATTTGGCTTTGTTTCACACTTACTTCATGCATAGAGTCCAAGAGTTTTGTTAGTTGATAAAACCGCTGCCAGTTCTGACTGGAGTTTCCTTCCCTCTTGACAATGGCTTTTCCTAGCTCTTTAATGTAGGTCATTCTGATTTCGTCAAATAGCTCTTGGCTCTTCAAACCTTCCTTAGGAACTAAAAGGTTAAGATGGAGTCAATTGAAGAAATTTCTTGTAAGGTATTCGCATGACTTACACTGTCTATGTACCCTTAATACATTCTAAAAGACAAGCATTTTCATAGATTATAACCAAAGGAATTTAGCCTTGGGTAAATCACTTGGTTTCTAATGTATAAAACTGAGCTGGTGATGACCATGGGAAGCAATTCGTGATGTTTATCTCTGGCTGCTGTTACGCATTTGGGGTTAGTTCCAGTACTGAGATAGAAGGCTGCTCCTCTTTGGAGTGGTTCAATTTCCTTTTTTTTTGTTATCCACAGTGTAAGAAATGTATGTATACATATATACACACCTTAAACATCGACTTTAGTTGCTTACTCAAATTAACAACAAGCTTTTAAGAGCTATACTGCTACACATTTGATTAAATTTGTACCAACAATCTTTGCTTTTTTTGTGGGTTTTGGAAAACGCTATTTTGAAATACTGTTAATGTTCATTAGATCCATTAAAACTTGTAGAACAAAAGTAGAATAGACTAATGTATGCCTTGGAAGCCAGCAATGTGCAGCATCTATAGCTTAAAGTTGTCCAGCAACTACAAAACCATAGTTACCAGTAAAAAATGGCTTTTTAGGAAAAACTGCAAAATGTGCTTAAACTTGTGTGTTAGATAGCCACCAGTTGTGTTATAACCAAACACCTGATATGCAGTTTGGACTGTGGTGACCTAAAGGGTTTTAGTGTCAACTGGGCGACATATTATTTTTAAGATTGCTGAAGTTTCTCTTTGTGGTTTGTTCCTTATGAAACTCATGGTGGAGGTTGTTTTTGTTTGTTTCTTAAAAATTTTTAAAAAGATTTATTTATTCAAAAACAGTTAAGAGATCTTTCATTTACTGGTTAATTTCCCAAATTAAATTCAGAGCTGAGCTGGTACAAAGCTGGAAGCTTGGAACTTCTGTCTCCGGTGTGCGTGCAGGGTCACATGACCTTGGGCCATTCTCAGGGAGCTGCAGCAAAAGTAGAGCAGTGGGACTTGAGTCAGTGCCGTGAGATGCTGTGCTGCAGGAAGAGGCTTAGCCTGCTATGCCCAGACATTGGCCCCACGGAGGTTTTATCCACCTGTAGCATTCAGAGGAGGGGCTTTCTGGGAGGTGACAAGGATTAAACATGCACTCACATGGGAGACCTGGCTGAAACACCAGGCTTTGGCTCCGGCTCCTGGCTAGCGTGGCTTTTTGAGGGGTTGAACTACAGGATTGGGGATCGTTCTGTCATTTTGGCTTTCAAATGAATAAATTCTTAAAATTTGTTTTTTACAAAACAGCTATCACTAGTACCTTCACCTTGTTCCTCCAGAACAAAAATGAAATGTTTTCTGTAATGTAACTGATGGGAAGACTAGTTTTTACAGCAGTGTCAGGTTTATAGCAAACAACGGAATGAGGGTAGAAGATTTCTCACATTCCTTCTGCATAGAGTATTTTTACTGCACTCCTCCTGTTCCTCCCCCCAGCCCGTGACCCCTGGACTAACTCCTAACCTTTGTGCTTTGACATAGTCTGGCCATGTGCATAGGTGTCACGATGGGAATTGTACGTACATTTATATAGCTTTTTCGGATTAGCTTCATTTGGCATTTAAGGCTCTTTCATGGCTTTTCATGGCTTGAGGACTTATTTCATTTTAGTGCTCAATAATTTTCCACTTTCTGGACATACCACAAACTTAGAAAAACATGTGGCTGTTCTGTGCAGACATAACTCTTCTACTTTGGTTAGTATCAAGGGACGTAAGTGCCAGCTGATATGGTGAGACTATATTCAACTTTGCAGAAACCACCAGCCTATCTTACAGTGACTGTCTCTACTAGCAGTGAATGAAGATACCTGTTTTTCCGTATCCTTCTTATCACTTGGTGATGTATATGTACATTTTTGTTTTCGCAGACAATACATACCATGGAGCCTCTCATCACATAACTAATAACAACTGTGTATCTTCCTTGGTGACATTTCTGTTGAGGTATTTTAAAATCTTATTTTCCTACTGAACTTTTAAGAAATCTTTCTATATTTTGGAAAGTAGTCCTTTATCATATAAGTCAAAAACAACTTTTATTGGTTGAAAAAGCTATTTGTAGATAAAATTGTAAGAATATAATATTTTATCTTTGTTCTTTGAGGTAATAATATTTTAAACTTATATTACAGTAAAAAAGGTTACTGCTGTAACAGGTAACTTTGTGTTTAGATAATGAATACTGCCATGTGCTAAATAGCAATGCAAAACAGAAACACAGCATTGTAGTCGGCCTTCTTTGTATCTCAGGTAGTGACGCTTTTTCAAAGATTAAAGAATAGAAAAGTCTACACAAATTCTAATCAGTAATTTTAATCTTGGGCAGTTCCCATTCCCCTGTTTTTATTACACTTGCATATCTTATTTTTATTGCATTGTTGTGCTTGCCTATAATTTTACATTTATGGAAATCATGTGCCCAAGCAGGAGACACCAGTGGAGGGGGTGGAATCACTATTACTGGATTGACGAGTAATTGCTTATGTTTTGCCCTTATTTATGGGTGGATTTTAGAATCATTCTACCAACCTGTAGAGAGAAGCAGTAAGGTTTTCATACAGAGATACTCTTCATAAGACACCTGCAGCCGTTTCAACTCCGAGGAAACAAAGAGCATATGTCTACATTGTTCATACATGAAGGGTAGACTCATTCTTTCTCTGTCAAAGACAAATATCAGTGTCAGAGTTAGAGATAGGCGGAGTTCCCCAAAACATACATTTCTTGTGTTTTCTTGCTATTATTGTTAATTCTATTGATCTATTGATAAAATGAAAATTTTGGAGGGCTTTGCTCCAAACTTAGTTACTGGGTCTACAGTACTACCAAGTAATGTGATTTTTATATTGCAAAACATTTTTATATCATGCCTACTATGTGTTGTTTTACTACTTAAAGTGTTCACAGTGATGTTTGGAGTTGCTCATTTAAATCAACCAGACAACAGTTCACGATTCTACTTTATGTATTTTTTTTTTTTTTACAATATTCTATCCTCAAGACAGCAATAGGGCCAGCACTGGAGCTTGACTACAGATGCTACATCTGTGACATGTGAATGAATATTCTGTACGTGCAGGAGCTGCCAGAGCTCTTTTAATTTAAAGTGTTCTCTTAACAGAGACACCTCCCAAGGCCCTCATGGTCATCAGGAGCTTTGCTGGGAGTGATCTTCACGCCTGTGAGTTCCTAGACATGCTTCAAATGCTCATTTAATTAAAACTGCAACAGATTTACAATGTAGTATGGCACTTAGAATTTAAAAAATCTTGTTGGATTTCACCAGAAAACAGGTGTTTTCAGGACACTGTGACCCTACAAACAGAGGGTCAAGTCAGACCATGAGTTTTATAAAGGATTATTTTGAAAAACAGGAATCTTCATCTGCTGGTTCACTTCCGGTAAGGTATGAATGGCCTAGGCTAGACCTGGCTAAAGAAAGCCAGGAGCTTCACCTGGGTTTCTCTTAGTTATAGAGGTCCAAACACTTACTTTCCCAGGCATACTGGCTGAGTTGGAACAGCCAGGACTCAAACTGATGTGCAATGGGATGCTGGTGTGGCAGCAGCTGTACCTGCCATGTCACAGTGCCGGCCCCATATATAATCTGATACCGTGAATCTGGGACAGGCATGGAGCAATATAGAAATACAGTGGACTTAAGAGAGACTCCCAGCTCAAGCACAGCAGCTGAAGGACACAGGAGAGGAATCAAGAATTACTTCAACCCAGTTTGTTCCTGAAAGTGAGTGGCTAAGTAAAAATAACCCCATAACAAGTATCTGATGTCTAAATCACTGCAGAAACAAAATTAGTATGAATATATTGAAAAAAATTTTTTCTGCAGTCTAAGAGTTACATAAGGAACGTACATGGCGAGATCAGGCTATGATGTATATGCTTCAGTTTAAATAAATCCTAAACTGTAGCTCCATAAATGAGTTCATATTTAACAGAAAGCTACTTGTTTTCATTTTCAGATTCCCTTGTAAAAAGCGACTGTTAACACTTTGATGAGATTTTGCGGAAAGCATGGTTGAATGCTGAAATAATGTCTTTAGTTTGCACAGAAGCTAAATACACTGACCAGCTGATTTCAATTTATTGGAATAATCTAATGTTGTTCCATTGTGATAAAAGGTGGGTTTTGGCAACATAGTGAAGGTTACTTCCTCTCGGACCCAGACGCACAGTATGTGTGTGGTCTGGCTGCAGTGTCCCTCCTAGCTGAAGGCTGGGGAACAATGACACATAGTGCCCATGATCACATTATCTCCATTTCCCGTGCCTCACCCCGTTGCTGCTCACTGTGGAGCCTGGCCCTTCCTTAGGTCTCACTGCTCAAATGATAGCTCCAAGAAGCTGCTGGCTACCTTATCGGAACTGTCTAGCACAAACCATCACAATCTGAAAGTATTATTGACGCGCAGCTGTCTGTGTCTTCCTCACTGTTGAGTCACCAACTAAAGGTCAGGAGCCTGTGCCTTCTCTCTGCTCCAGTCCTAAGTGGTGGAGAGCTTTCAAAAGTCTGGGCAAATGCCTATTATGAAAAAACTGTATGGAGCCAAACAACCCTGCAATCCACGTGTAAACATTTTTCCACGAAGCTTTTGAGGTTTGCTTGCACTGGGCACGTATGGTGAGTGTGAAGAGCATCGTGTTGGCTTCCTGTTTCTCTGATAGTGTTTTAGGCCATAACCCTAGGGTACTTCCTTCCCTTCCCCAAACAGGCTAGCTTGTTTCAGTGCTTCTCAATTGCCTTCTTCCGCCTGGACCCTTTGTGCAGCTGGTTCTTTAGTGCTCAGTGCAGAGGTAATGTAAGTAGCACACTTCTCTCCGTCCTGGCCAGTTGCACTGTTACATCGCAGCTCTGGGAAAGAGATTTTTTCTTCCCTTGAGTTCCCTTTTTAAAATGTTAGCAGAGATGAGCCCTCTGCCAACTATTCCAAGTTTCCTTAATAGTACCTGGCACAGTGTGAATATTCAAATATCAATGAATTAATACAGGATAGAAACCGTTTAGCATAACACTTGAGCCAGCAAGGAGGGAATCCTAAAATCCTTGTATCAGGTGGGTTTTCTCCTTTCTCCTGCCAATCCATGGCCTTGGAATTACCTAGTAGTACTGAATACAGAAATACCTTACCATCTGTGGCTCCCTACATGCATGCTGTTACTTATTCCCTACCAAAATGCAATGTTTGGAGTCTGGAACTCAAAGTTAGGCTGTCCCATGTAACATTTGGGACAAATTGCTGCTCTTCTGTAATTCTTCTCTATTGAATGTGTCAGGTAGGAAATAATACGTCGCTGTGTACTTCTTTGGGCTGTCCTCACAGATCTCAAGCCTCCTATTTGCTCCAAATGTGTCCATGGACACAGTCCAGACTGAGTACTGTTAATGTGCTACCTTTTAGAGAAGAGAAAAACTAAGCAATGTAACCATTATATGGGGTGGTTCAGGACAACAGTGTTTTCTGGAGCATTATCAGCTGCATGCAGAGATCGCAAGTAAATGCCCATGTCCCCCTCCCTCCACAGGAATACAAATCTCGAGTTGTGGGGAGGTATGCAAGGACTTTGGGTTTCTAGTTCAAGGAAGGAGTTAAGCAACTAGCACAAAAAGGTCTGTTATCGGGTAAAAGATGAGAAGAGCCAGGAGGATAGAATTGAGGTGAACATCATGAGCTGAGAGTGTGTTTTAAGGTGGGACAATGAGTATGTACAAGAGAAAACCATGCCAAGTTTATGCTGAAGCTATCTGTGCACGGAGGGAGGAGACTGCATCGAGGGAACACTGCACAGAGAGGCCTGCGCGGAACGAGGCGGCGACTGATGACGTCAGGAGGCTTCGTCAGTCCTCCAAGTGAGCAACGGATGTGACGAGTCCTGGCTGTGTCCCTGCTTCAGCCCAAGCAGAGGTAATGGTCCCTACCGAGTCCACTGGGGACTGAATCCTGTCACAAACGGGATTCCCTCATATTAGCCACAGGTTTCACCGAGCCTACAGATGCCAGCTATTTGAAACAAATGTTCTGGGGCAGTAATAGTGGCATATATGAATTATTAACATATGCCCTGCTCCCAGTTTACCTAATTTTTACATTAGTGAGTGAAATTCAATTCTAATGTCTTAAAATAGCCTATCAGGAAAATGTCAGCTGTTACAGTAAAAATGATTCATATACTACTTACTCATTAATAATCAGATCAGGAGCAAAACATAACAGGTTTGCACTAGATTGTCTGTAGGACCTCCAGCCCAAGGCAAACGCCATGAGGAACATCCACGAATACTGCAGCAGGGTCATCTGGTCATCCAGGTGTAAGTTCCTGAATCCTGAAACAGTAGGAAGATAGTTTATCTTTGGTAATTCAAGGGTTGCACCCTATGAATTAACCTTATTTGGGGTGGGCTGCTTAAGAGGTAAAGGAAAGGTGCCTGGTTTTCCTGGGTCACCTGACACATAGCTTGAGCACTTTAAGTGTAGCATCCATGTATGCAGACCTAGGAGTAGCCAGCTTGTCATTTCTTGCCTCACAATCAAATAGTCGAGGACCGAAAGCAGAGTCTAGAAGCAATGAGTCTAAATTAATTTTCCCTGATAGTCATTTTTCACCCTTTGTTACATCAGGGTAGTCGTTTTTAGGTATGTTAGGCTGATGCTCATATAGTTCAATAGCAAAACTTTTACTTAGTTACCTTTAAAATCACGGAGTTGAAATTACTCTCCTTAGAACATGTTTTACAGACAGCTTGCTCTTTTCTAGTTTTGCAGCAAAACCAACAGAATTCTTAAAATTTATATTGTTTCCTTTCTTCTAACATCATCCTCTATGAAAATTCTGCACTGTGGGGGTAACTAAAAAGTGAGGGGCAATGTGGAATGTCTATTACAGAAGTGCCTCTGCTTTGTCCACAGGTCCTGAGATGAGGTGCCCAGTGAGCCTGTGATTTTATTCAAGAAACAAAGTTGGCACTGTGGCTCTGTCACCCTGTGCCTCTTACCTGGTATCGCCTTTGCCCATTTCACTGCTGCTATCACTTGCCGCCCCCCTAACATGTTGAGTGTGGTCATGATCCTCCAAGTGGTATCTGGAATGGAGCTATCGTAGCCTGCGTATAACACCTCAGGTTCAATGACTTCCAGCAGAGACACCAGCGTGGGGGTGAGTTGGGGTAGCGTGGCAGGAACTATTGTTTTGTTAGAAGGATTTTCACAAGTTTCTTGTGAAACTCCAGTAGTGGCCTGCTGAATTCCTTTTATTTTCTTCTTTGTTTTTCTTGCTGTTGGCATTAAAAAAAGAAAAGAAATGAATTGTTAAAAAAAAAGGCTTCATAGTTTATTTAAGATGTGTTTTCAATTTCTGAAGCAATTGCACAAAATTTTATTTTGCAATTATGATGGACACATGAGAGCACAAAGTTTTTCTGAAAGTTAAGGATCCATAGAATCCTGTTTCCATAAGCATTCCTCCTATAAATAAGCCAGCCTCTTCAGTAAACATAAAAGAAAAACTTGCATAACATTGTTTAAACAGTATGAACAAATCATTATAGATTTGAATATATATTATTTTGGTCCCAAATTTACTCTAAATATGAAAATTTCAAATGAGGCAACTCTATGTAGAGCAAAGATAATTTCTTTAAAGTCATCCTTCTACTTACTCATCTATAGTTATTTTCACACACAAAAAGACAACTACATCTCACGTTTGCCAGGCCCGTTCTCCACTACCCTCCATAACTGAGGCTGGACCTGGACAGAACCGGGGATGTAACTGAGTCTTCATCCCTGCTTCCCAGAATGTATGTTAGCTTGAAGCTGGACTGGGATATCACATTCCATATTGGGAAGTATGAGCTCACATCTTAACTGGTGTGGAAACCTTTAAGCAACCAAGAGTGTGTCACTTGAATCCTGATCAGAAATCATGGACTGTACTTGGTTGACAATATAAAAAGATGCATGTCCCAAATCAATACACCAAACCAGAGCTGTAAAAACCTACATTAACCATAGTGTTAAATGTTTTACAGTACCCTCTTTCCGCATGGCATGTCAGAACCACAAGCTGGGAGGATCTGTAAAGATCGTTCCATAGAACATGGGATACTTGCTAGTGAAGCCAATTATGTTGTACTGAATGGAACAAGAAATACATCTCTAGAGGTTTCAGTTGAATAATTAATTCACTCAACTGCTCAAAGCTTGTGATTACTTAATATATGCCACTGAATAACTTATCTAGACTTCAATGCTGCGCACTTTAAGCAGTGAGCAATGTTGCCTTAAAATAAATCTTGGGATTTTTTGGGCATAGGACAACAGTGTCAAAATGCACCACTTGCAGTACTAAATTACATTTATATAGATAACTGGAATCTGAGAGAGCTTATTGTTGAAATTGTTAAAATTGACACAGGGGAAAAGCGCTGCATACACAGTATTTCTAAAAATTGAGAACTGTAAAACACAGGTCACAACTACATTGTTCTTATCCGCTGTGACTCTGCCAAGTATTTCTGGCAATAAGCATTCACCTGGAATCAGGAAAAAGACTAAAACTACATATACACGCCCATGAGCTTGGGTTTTTAAAACATTATCCTTTAATTTGAGTTAGGGTACCATTTCATTGTTGATAAAATAGATGGGTAGTCTAATGCTGGATTCCACTGTAAGGTGTCTTTAATAGTCCAACATTACCTTAATAGGAATAGTAGATTAGCATAGTGACTGAACAAATGCTAGTTTCTCCACTCCTTTGATCTTCCATTGACAATTTACAAAATGATACATTTGATTAATACAGTAGTTTGAGAAACTACCGCTCAGACAAAATTATGTGTGGAGTTCCAACTGTTGGGCAGCTGAGAATGGCAGTGGTGGCAAACTGCACGACAAGAAGTTTGCTATGATTGTCTTCTAATAGGGAACAAACAGGGACATTCCTAGTCCATCAGAATTATTACTTCATAATTTAATATCTGTTTCTCAAGGAACTAACCAGGGAAGCATTTTAACATGCAAAATTCAAAGACCATAAATTTTCTAAAAAGAAATATTCATTTCAGGGCCAGCACTGTGACACAGCGAGTAAAGCTGCCATTCTATACTGTTCCTGATGTGAGTCCTGGCTGTGCTTCCTGCTCCTGAGTAGGGATAACACAGAGATCGTCCATCTGCTGCTTCGCTCTCCGGAAGGCCGGGCCAGGCGCAACCTGGAGCTTCATCTGCGGCTCAGCACTTGAAAGACTGGTCATCAGGAAGCTGGAACCAAGGTGAAGAGCCATGACACAAGCACAGGACATACATTAACTCACTGTGTCAGAGCAGCAGCCCCATATCACACTACCTCACTGGGCGTGACACTTCAGGGCAAAGAGTAAGACTGAAAGGAAATTAAAGACCTAAAAAGTTCAGTGATTGACCTATTCTGAAACTGTCAAATGCTTATTACACACTTTGGGAATTCGTGAGCAGCAAGCGAAGCTGGTTAAAATCTTGGCCAAAATCTGATACATACAAAAGTGGGGAATAATTGTGTGGTTTGTTAACAAAAAATACCCCTCTGGTTCTGAAAGGGAACTGTGAAAGAATTTGTGATTCATCTTTGTGAGTTGTCAATCACGCGGAAGAATTTAGGCAGCAGATGTTTAAGGGAGTACTTAACCTAGTCAGACTTAAAGACTACTTACTCGTGCTGGTCAATCTACTTTGTTTCATAACACATGCATGACACAGTAGCTCCAGAAAGCAGCAATGGTTATTCTATCAACAGAACCATGGTTTAATTGGTCTCTCAATTAAGGTTAGTCTTTCCAAAATACAAATCTGATCATCTCTGTGCCCTTATTTTGCATCTAATTCCTGCTCAGCTTCTTAAAACTCAATCCTGTTTTCTTCCAAAGAAGCAGTCCCTGCCGTCAGGACTTGGTGCTGTGACACCCCAGTTCTGTGATGGATGCTGCCAGCTAGCCCGGCGCTGCACTGTGCCTCAGGAAAGGTCAGTTTCACTTTCTCCAGTTTTAAATGACCAGACCTATGTTTATTCTAGCACTTTACTTTTCTTGGATGTTGTTTACAGATAGTAAAGGCAAAAAAAAAAAAAAGGGCATGTAAATAAATCTGAGAAGGAAACATCTCCAATGCCATAGTTTTCAGGATGAAAAAGTATTAAGATGAAAGTACAGTTGCTTCAGCTCTGAGCCCTCTTCATAGGGTGATACATCAGAGCAACAGCCAGGAGCCCTGGGTGGTCCTGAGAGATAGCAGAATTGTAAATTTCTTTCTTGACTCGCGGAGAGGAGCTTTCTCTGGTCCTTACTTAAGTTTCAACTTTGGCTCCCTGTCCTCTCTTAAACAATGACCATCAGGGTTGCTCAGGAACCCCAAAATTAGCTCAGAAAGACAGACTAATATAGAAGGCATTGAACAGACAGGAAGAAGTCAGCTGGCCTATAATTGCTCAGCCTGTACCTCACTGTTCAGGTTCCTGATCTGGCTTTTCCTAGACCTCACTAAGGTAGGATGCAGAGTTCAGTTATTCCTCACTTGCTAAGTTATTGGGGATTGCTCTGCTGACTCGCCTAAGATTGTTCTACTCTTCAGTTGTTAATATATTGCTTATTAGAGTTATAAGTCTGTTACGATGCTCCTACAGTGCATGAAGTTCTGTAAAACTCTCACTTGAATAGTATAAACTGCTTAAATGTAAATATAATTTAAAAATAAGATAAAATAAGGTTGCCAAAAGACAGTTCAGCTAAAAAAGAGAAACAAAAAAATACACCAGGGGCAAGAGAACCAGTCAATCTTGAAACATGAGGTGAAAGGATGACAAGACTTCAAAACGGCTGCCAAGGTGGACAGGTTCTGTGGTGTTGACAGGATTCTGAAAGTGCAATCTGCACGTGCTGGTGAGCGGGTGGGCATGGGGATGAGAAAAACAGAGTTTCACGGGCTGCTGACCAGCTTTAAAAATCAAAGCTCATAGGTACATACCCATGTTTATATTAGAGAAAAAAGTGTTAGTTTTTGCTGAGAAATGGAGCAGAAATAATTAGCATTATTTATAATGCAATTAAAATAAAGGATCTGTCTACTAGAAGCAACTTTCCTTTTTTTTTTTAATTAGTGTGCATTTCATCCTTAACTAATGCCTTTTTTTAGTATATGAACTGTGATGATTTGGCATTATTAATTAGAATTGATGAGTGAACAGACATCATGTACTCACGTAAGAAGTTCTCACTGCACCAGCATACCAGCAGAGCACTTAGAACCTGAGTCTTACATTTTAAAAATGATTAAAGATTCCTAAGATACACAGGAGATTCTTTAGACATTACCTTCCAGGTTCATCCCAGCCTGAAGACATTTTCGGTAACGGCACGCCGGGCAATTTTTTCTTCGAATTTTATCAATGATACAATCATTTCTTCCAGCACAAAGATAATTGTGCTGTCCTGAATAGAATAAAAGGCACTGTTAAAATCCCACAGTTCTTTTATGTAGAGTCTGTTTATTTCTTGGCAGATCATGACCAAGACCAGAGGAAGGAAGCAGTGAACTTGTCAGTACACCATGACCAAAGCATCACTTTGCTCAAAAATCTGAAAACAGGTATACATACGTAAAAGTGCACAAATATGTTTTCCCCTTAATTTTTTTAAACGGCACTTCTCCAAATCCCTTGTGTGCTGCAGTGCAGTCACTAACTCTCCAAAGTGAGCATTTCTGAAAACTGTCTTATACAGAACATACCTTTTATCACTATGTAGACTTGTGATTGAATACGAAAAGGAATATTGAATAAAGTGACAACTGGCAAAAAACATGAGAGGCCCATGAGAAAAATGACAGTCAATCTTACAATACCGTATACAAATTAGATGCCTCCTCCCTCCGCGAAAGAATTTCGTCTTGAATGTTGAAGTTGCCAGCATCTATCCAGTCAGGTTAAATAGATATGGCAAATTCAACTCTTGTATGCCAATCCTACAGAAATCATTATTTCACATGCCTTTAGAACATAAGGGTGTATGAATATATCTTCACCTTCAAATCATGTCCAATACTGAATAACATGTTAACAACAACCACCATAATTTTCTCTTGGCAAAAAACATTCCCTGGGAAATATGTAAGGAAAAAATTCAAGCAGGTGCTACCTGTCTCTCAAATGCCCACTTCACAACTCTTTTTAAAACTTGGCTACCACAGGTCCAGCACAGTTCTAAAGTCCTCACCTTGACACATGACAGATCCCATATGGGTGCACTGGTTCTAATCCCGGCAGCCCCGCTTCCCATCCAGCTCCCTTCTTGTGGCCTGGGAAGGCAGTTGAGGACAACCCAAAGCCTTGGGACCCTGCACCAATGTGGGAGGCCCCAAAGAGGCTCCTGGCTTCAGATCAGCTCAGCTCCACCTGTTGCTGCTGCTTGGGGAGTGAATCAACAGACGGAAGATCTTCCTCTGTCTCTTTCTCTCTGTACATCTGACTTTCCAATAAAAACAAATCTTAACGAAAATAAACCCTTAAAATACATATATATTTTATTGGAAAGGCAGATTTACAGAGAGAAGGAGATACAGACAGAAAGATCTTCCATCTGCTGATTTTTAACAGCAGTTTCAAGCATTCAATAAATGGTAGCTGTTAATTTCAGTCTGAGTTCATCTTTGGGATATAACAAGATTACGCCTGCAGTTGACAAGTTTATCTACCTTGGGGAGTCAGTGTAGTATTGGGGTTAAGAACTTGCTTGGGGACAGCTGCGTTGGAATCCCCCAGTCCACCACTCCCGTACTGATCCCCAACTTCCTAAACTGTCAAGTACTAATCTTCCTTCCTAGCATCCGAGTGCTCACAGCCATTAAAATTGTATTCATCTGAGGCATGAAAAATGTACTCAAAAATAGGACATCATAGTAGGGACAGCTTTATAATGAAGTCCTCCAAAATCCCAATCTGGGTTTTGAAGCAATTTTTTATACTGTGTCTATATATGTAAAATGCCTATCAAAGAATCACAAAATTGTAGAGTTGCAAAGGGCCCTCTGAGAACCTTGACACTGTAGAGTAGGGAGTCAGCGCAGAGCTCGGCGTCTGCAGTGTTCTTGCACTTGGCAGGTCTGTCTAGCTTTAATGCTTTGAGGTTAGGCATGCATGTATGCATTCTCAAAAATCACACCACCACCACCAAGTAAACCTGCCCTCCTTCCCTTGTATTAAATTAATGCTACAAAATGACACAGTTGGTGCCTGTAGTCATTTGAATTGTAGCGCTGTTTTAACATGAATGTGAAAACAACACTAATGCACATGCTTTCCTTTAAATGTTCATGCCTCACTCTGAATTTCACTTTCAATGCGTCAATGCTACTACATGCAGCTGCACTGTATTACTGTGACCACTACAATGATGTAATGGAAATACTTGAGAAAGTGCTGAACTGGGAACAAGAAGTGGCTTCCTCCTTTTGAGTTTGAGCTCAGCAACAGGCCCTTGGTTGGGGACTGTGCACCATGCAGGGTTATGCTTTGCGCATGACTCGTAGGTGGCGTAGGCCAAGTGTGCCTCTCTCTGCAGGGGAACAAGTTACTCTATGAACTGAACACAACTATCAGCAAATAACCATTTTTACATGGCAAATTGCCTCATACCTTCAGAACTCATCAGAAGTTTGTCATCCATTCAGGTTGTGGTGCCTAATAACTGCTTCAGTGACGACACACTGGTGGTAACAGAAAAGTGCAGTTTCCCACCAGTCAGCACTGGCTGCAGAGTGCACTTCAGGGAGCTCTCTGGGGATCATGCCTCTGTCAGCAGGGGTGCAGTTTATATTACTAGAACATTGATACAGTGACGTCACCTGACCTCCCGTCTGTGGCCGGTGAGCATTGACAGTGACGGGGGGAAGAGGCACTGACGTTCTTTAGCACGGTGCCCTGGCTTAACAGGAAAACCAGAAGGCAAATGAACTGCATTTCTCACAGTTCTGTCATTCATTTTTCTAGGCAGGTTATAGTTAATGGCTCTGAAACAACTAGCTTATGGCAGAGAACATCTCCATTCCACCATTGCACCTACTAAGTTTTTAAAAAGTGTTATTTTTATACCTCTCAGGCAGAGAAAGCTTCCAAGCGATGGTTCATTCCCAAAGTATCTCAAGGGCCAGGGCTGAGCGGGGAGTCTGGGAGTTCAATTCAGTTCTCCCTCCTGAGTGACACCCAAGGATGAGGTGTGCATTAGCAGGGAGCGTGAGTGGACCTGAATTTGAACCCAGTTGTCCCGGTGGAGGCATTTTAACCACTAAGCCAAACATCCCAGATAAGCACTTTCTTATAATGTAACCTTCTGCTTATAATATAACCATCTGCTCTCTTGACCAGATTGCTTCCTATTAATTTACGCTTTTCTATTTCATCCTAACACTGTTTGTTTGGTTTTTCAAACATACTTTTTGATTTCTGGAATACCTGGGGACCACCCTCTCCTTTCTACCATATGGGCTTAGCATACAATAAAAATGTAAAAACCTGTTTCAGAAATAGGAACCAGTAAATAAAACATAAAACTCTTCAAAATACACACTACCTTCCACTGCTCTTTTGAAGAATACTTTGCAGCTTCCACAAGTCAAGACCCCATAATGGCATCCCGAAGCTTCGTCGGAGCACACCAGGCAGAGTTTGGGAGGTGGTCCCGAGGCTGTGGCAGAGGTCGATGGAGGAGAGCTCACATCTGGTCTCATTCCTGGGCTGGAGGAGGAAGCGAACAACGTTAGGGCTTCACCATGACCGTCAGGGGAACAAAACATCCTTCACTTGCTTCTTACTCCACAGTCACACGGACATTCAGTTCAGGTTCTAGCAACCACAAAACACTCCTCAGACCCATGCACTGACAATGTTCTGTTAAGAAATATAAATAATTTTCTGCAAAATTAAACATGAGAGGCCAGCAGCACTCTTGGCTTTGGGGCCTTTGGGGGAGTAAACCAGCAGATGGAAGACTCTCTTCAGTCCTTCCAACAAAAATAAGTAAATCTTTACAAACACAAGGGCTTTACCTTTGGAGTATCCCCAAAGCAGAGTGGAGAGGCTGTATCATTTTACTAGGATTTATTCCTTTCAAAGGAAAAGGGACAGAAGGAAAACCAGAGAAAAAGATGCTTCATCTAGGCCCGGCGGCGTGGCCTAGCAGCTAAGGTCCTTGCCTTGGACGCGCCGGGATCCCATACAGACACCGGTTCTAATCCCGGCAGCTCCGCTTCCCATCCAGCTCCCTGCTTGTGGCCTGGGAAAGTAATTGAGAAAGGCCCAAAGCCTTGGGACCCTGCTCCCATGTGGGAGACCTGGAAGAAGTTCCTGTTTCCTGGCTTCAGATCGGCACAGCACTGGCCGTTGTGCTCACTTGGGGAGTGAATCATCAGATGGAAGATCTTCCTCTTTGTATATCTGACTTTGCAATAAAAAAAAAAAATCTTAAAAAAAAAATGATGCTCCATCTGCTGGTTCACTTCCCAAAAAGCAGCAGTGAATGGGTCCCTGGCCCAGGCTGCAGCCAGGAGCCAGGAACTCCGTCCAGGTTCTCAGGTGCTTCAGCACAGCGCTGAGTTGGAAGTGGAACAGCTGGGACTTGGTGTCCATATGAGATGCTGGCACTACTGGCAGTGGCTAAACCTGCACAAGACAGTAACCTAAATTTAAATTTGTAGTACTGGGCCTTTATTTACTTAAAATCTCCCTTAGTAAGATATTACATACATACAAACATAACATTTTATATTCTCTGATACATAATACTCAGTAGTAGCACAAGCATAAGATAGGCCATTTCCATCATCTCAAAAAGATGCCTACTGAGCACAGAATAATGCTTAGGACCTGGGATAACAGGTCAAATAGCTAATTTTCCTCCTTCTAAGCACCACAATACCCTCTGGGGACTGGTCTGTGTCTAGGCTGCTCCCCCCTACCCCCTTTCCCTTCCAGCTCCCTGCTTGTGGCCTGGGGAAGCAGCAGAGGATGGCCCAGAGCCTTGGGACCCTGTGTCTGCATGGGAGACACGGAAGAGGTCCTGGCTTCAAATTGGCTCAGCCCCGGCCATAACGGCCACTTGGGGAGTGAACAGAAGATCTTTTGTCTCTCCTCTTTGTATGTCTGCCTTTACAATAAAATTTTTTTTTAAAGTGACTTTTCTAAAATAACAATCCTCAACTGTTTTATCATTGATAAATTATTTTTCTAGAATACTGACAGCCCAGTGGAAGATTCTGGGAAAAGAGGGAGAGAGTGGGAAGAGAACAAGTGACAGAGATCTTGCATCAGCTCATTCACTCCCCAAACGGCCACAGGAAGTGAGGCACCTCGAGCACTCCGGCCACCTTCTGCTGCTTTTCTGGACCTGTCAGCAGGGAGCTGAATCAGAAGCACAGCAGCTGGGACTCAACCTAGCACTCCAATATGGGAGGTGGCATTAAAGGCAGTGGCTTAATCTGTTGGGCCACAACACTGGCCCTCAAGTCAGTTTTTTATATACCGTATTTTCAAGACTGATGGTACAATCTATGATATTCAGAACCTTTTCTAGAGGGAACACAGAATATTTCTTTTAGCTCTATCCAAATTTGCAATGCATATGACCCTGACAAGACAATGATCCTGAAAAGAGTAGTTCTGTCTAAAGATGGTATAGTACACATGTTTTTATTTCGGTTCACTCCAGACCCAAACAACATGACAGTAATGACGGTTTGTTTTCAATTTCAGAGGCCTCCACCACTGAGAGTGAGAATGCCAGGGACCCTGTATCGGGTAGGGCGCAGACAGGAAGTTCCACAGTATTGTCATGTCAGTAACCAGTGAGATACGAAAGAAGTTGTCTGATTTGTTCAGCCTTCCAAAAGGCTTACAGATTGGGGGGTAAAAATAAAAAATGATTGACTCAAAGTCTGATTAAGAATACTTTTAAAGCTTTCTTTTTATAGAAATGACAAGCCAGGCCATGGGTGCCTGCCAAGAATTAAAGTGTGGCTAAATTGAGTCTTTTAAAAAAAAACCTCTAAAAGCACCAACAAGCTTGCAAAACAATTAGGCTAATTGTAAGAGAAAGGACCCCAGCCACTTGTACCCTAGTTTATAGATTATATTAAGATTATAATTACCATTGCAAAGTATTATTGAGATTCAACTCCAAGGACAGGAAACTCACAACAAACAATAATCATATGGAAAGTCACTCAGCCTCATTAGTTGTCAGTGAAATGCAAATGAAAACCTTAATGAAATACTGTTCCACCCCCTCCAGATTGGCAAAGACCAAACAGGACTGTCCTGTCAGGGGCACGGTCCACTTCGGAAGGCAGCTGTGCTCACCACCGTACCACCAGCGCGCACAGGGCACAATCCCCTTGGAAAGCAGCATTTCTCAGTAAAGTCACATTAGCCTGTGATCCGCAAGTACGTCATTAGACATGCACACATGAAGAAATACATACTTGAAGAAAATGTGTGTGAACAGTAAAATGTTAAAGGATGTGAAAGGCATTTTCATAAATACTACTCACAGGTTCATACTGCTGAGTTGGGCTTGTAAACACCTCTAAGGACATAATTATATATAGTGATTAGCTATATATATAATATGAATGGACGCTACGATGTTGAGTCAAAGATGTAATGCATATGTATTAGTAAATGATTCAAAAACTAAGCTTTAGGGCCCGGCGCGGTGGCGTAGTGGTTAAGGTCCTCGCCTTGCATGCCCGAAATCCCATATGGGCGCCGGTTCTATCCCGGCAGCCCCGCTTCCCTTCCAGCTCCCTGCCTGTGGCCTGGGAAAGCAGTCGAGGACGGCCCAAAGCTTTGGGACCCTGCACCCGCGTGGGAGACCCGAAAGAGGCTCCTGGCTTCAGATCGGCATAGCATCGGCCGTTGCGCTCACTTGGGGAGTGAATCATTGGACGGAGGATCTTCCTCTCTTTCTCTCCTCTCTGTATATCTGCCTTTCCAATAAGAAAAATAATAAAAATAAATCTTAAAAAAAAAACACTAAGCTTTAGTGTTAAGGGGTGTGTGTGTGCGTGTGTAGTTTAAAAACAAAAGGAAGTACATCATCGTATTTGTCAGCAGAGTTATTGCCTCTGGGGAGGAGGAGCAGAGTGGCATGGTAATCCTGTCGGGTACACGGGAAGGCTCCTGCAGATGCTGGCTCAGTTTGATTTCTTGCCCTGGTTGGTTGGTACACAAATACTAGCTTTAAATTCACTAAACTGTGTATGTATGTGTTGCTTTTACAGTAAAACTATCTTAGTAGATGTGAAAGGCAGAGTCCCTGACTACTAGCTCACTGCTCGACTGTGTGCGATGCTCGGGGCAGGCGTCAGGCCACAGCGGAAGGCAGGATTCAGTCCAGTTCTACCAAGTCTGGAGTGAGAAGTCCACTTCTGCTATAGTCCTGCGTGCTGCCCCTCCATGGTGCATGCGCACGAACGGGGACTAGCACCCATCTGAACCCCAGCACTCCAGTCTGGGACGTGGGTGACTTAGTCGCTAGGGGCAGCTTCTCTCTCTCCCTTTTGAGTTTTCCTTCTTGTTTCTGTCCACATTTTGTCTTTAGGAACTCCTTAGACTCATCTATTTTCCATTGCTCTGTTCCCCGCAGTACAGGGTATTTTCTCCCTTTGTCTCTCATTCTGATCCATTGAGAATTTCAGTGTCCTGTCTTTTAATTTACAAGATCTTTGTTGTTTTGCTTTCTGAATGTTAATAAAAAAGAATCCATTTTAGGGTGGGCAGTCTGAACAATGGTTAAAATGGTGTGTGACATGCCTGGACCTCAAACTAGAATCTCTGGGTGAGAGTCCTGGCTCTGCTTCCAGGACCAGCTTCCTGCCCGCACACACTCCACGAGGGAGCAGACACTTGTGGACCTTGGAACACTGAGTTAGAAGAGATTCTGTCGGCCTTTCACACACAATTTTAAAAGCTTTCCTTAGGAGTGTGCACATGATGTGCATCTGGGAGAGGATTTCCTTCCCTGCCTATTTTTCAGGTCCCTCTGAGACGGAGCATCTACCAGAAGGCACCGTTTCTTTTACCCTGTCCACCCACTTCCTGCTGCTCAATTTGGAGGCCTTGCTCTGTGCGTTAGAGCAGTCACTGCACCCAAGAATTCCACATGCAGAGATGGTTGAAGCAACTGCTGCAGTGCCTCAATGACCTGAGAGACCAGATCGTACAGTGTTGCATGCACTTGCATGAAATCCCAGAAGGAGAACACGGTGAGAATGGAAAGGAGAAACAGCATGAAGAAACTGGCTGGGTTACAAATCAGGAAGGAATTTAGCCTGGTCGACACGGTACGGCACACATAAACACGCCAAACCCTCTTTTCCTCTAGTCTAAAATTTTTAAATTAAAATTTTAAAATACAATAAATTGGTGCCAAAATATGTGTACTAGCTTTACAGAAAAAACTGGAAAATGCTAAGGAAAAAAAGGGATTCAAGTGAATGGAAGGATGCATGCTGTTCAGTTACATCTCATCCCCAAATTGATTCATGCATCAAGGCAGTATCAAACACAATCCTATGATAAAATTGACATGGAATCGCAAAGGATCTAGAAGAACCTAAACTTTGTCTCCTCCCCTGGAGGGACAACTATCTCCTCAAGATCATTTCTAACAAATATGAACAATGAAAGCAGCTCAGCCAATAATGAATCAACCATTTGCTATGCGGCATACAAAAAAC